TTTTTAATCTGAAAATCAGTAGCTTGATTTCTATATCAGTGAAATGTGGATACAATTTGCTGTTGAAAACTCTAGTTATAATGCAGAAACGAAGTTCATATTTCTTGAAACATGGTGACTTCAACCCCTGAACTTTTAACCTAAAATCAATACGATTATCCCCTATCCATAAATAAAGAGAAATGGCCTATGAAATCAGGTAACATTAGGTTATTTAAAAATATAGTTATCGTAGAGAATGTAGATGCCTACAGACGAACTGACATCACCATCATTATATTTTCTCGAACTTTTTCGGTTGAAGGGAACAAATTTATTCTACTCTTCTTAAGGTTAAATACATTTACACTAGTAATTTTAATAAATGTAAGGTATAGCTGTACTACATCTATTTATGCAGCTTGACGCATCCTTATCCATTAGTTACGAAACTAATATCAGAGTAGGAGGAAAAAAGAAGTATATGTGTGTGGTTAATGTTTTGTCCAAACGACACTGATTGGGAAACTTGGCCGAAACATTGATTACATACTTATGTACATCCGTCACTCTTAGCTAGTTGTAGCCTCAGATAATGACTTTGAGCGAACAGAGAGTATACGCATGGAATTCAACTCTAAGTAATCAGTTACAAGAAGCATCTTTTTATTAAGTAGAAGTCGTGTTCATGTTTTATAAGTTATACGTTACATTAAACTAACAAAATAGTCAAATATTTTGTTTTATTTTCTACAACAATTATTTTTTATTTTGGTTTTTAAATTCAAATATGGTATTTTAAATTATTGTAGCAAGTGTGAAGATGAGGAAACACTGAGATAGTTGAAACTTTCAATGAAGATAAATCATGTATCTGTTTCTTATCGAAAAAACTCCTCCTAGTTACATTACTTACAAGATAATGAAATGTAACTGGTAGCCAGGAAAAATGCATTGTGGTTGTTTACATGTTTCCATTTTAACGGGCACAGCATGGCCAGGTGGTTAGGACGCTCGACTCGCATCCCCGTCCCACCAAACATGCTCGCCCTTTCAGCCGTGGGGGCGTTATAATGTGACGGTCAATCCCACTATTCGTTGGTAAAAGAGTAGCCCAAGAGTTTGCAGTGGGTGGTGATGATTAGCTGCCTTCCCTCTAGCCTTACACTGCTAAATTAGGGACGGCTAGCACAGATAGCCCTCGTGTAACTTTGCGCGAAATTCAAAACAAACAAACCATTTTAATGAGTCGCAGAGGAGAAGTCTCAGTGGGGTGAATATGAAATAAATGTTGAAGAAAAATCATGTTTTCTAACGTTCATTCTGTATTAGCGCCACTAACAATATTGAAGGATAACACCAATGGTTGCAACATGAGAGAAACAAACTTGGAACAGGTGATAGTGGCAGGATGAAACATGAGACGATGGATATGTTACCGTGGATCTATTTATTTCAGGATAGTGAAGTTTTAACAACGAACAACAACAAAAGACACACACAGGCATTGTCAACATAACATATTCGAATGTCTATATCTTCCCCGGTTTAAGCTTCAAAATGATGTAATACTGAATAGCATACGTACTTGTAACAGAAATGAAGCCAGTATCGTACGAGCTAGAAATGTGTGGCTACACGTTGTACTAAAAGCGTTTCAAAATGTATATTGTGACGTACTCTCTCCATGAATGTTAACTAAGTTGCTCAAATTTCGACTATAAATGCTTTTCTTATTTTATTTTGTAAAATCGAGATGGAATTTACTATTACAATAATAGTTCATACTTTAACATCAGTAATCTCTCTTGTCCGTTGTTTTAGAGGCGGCTTAAGATGTGATGCAATGACGTCACAACTGTTTCCAACAGAAGCGCATCCGTTTTATTTTCAGTTTCGTGTATTACACGTGCCCCTGACAGTATTAAAGGTTTTAACTGTTGGAAAATAGTAGTAGGAAATTCGATTGGTATAAGACTGATAGAATGTTTCTGTTTTGGCTATTTAAGGTTTCTGAAGTTACTTGAATGAGTTTTCAAATAAATAGCACAAACTAAGTGTCACAAGATGACAAATAATGCCCCAAAACTGCTAAAAAAATAACTATCAATATGCAGTAGTTTGGAAAAGATATTTCGAGTATAAGGTTCAAGAAGTAGTTAGCTGAGTTGTTATAGCCTTGACGTATTGTTAAATGATCATACTAAGAAGTAGAGGTTTGAAAAAACATATCAACATGTGCATTGGGAAGACCAATTTTTTACTGGTAATTTGACCGCCTCGTGATGGGTGAAGCTATTACAGGTTTGACGTTAAACGTAGACAGATACACATAGGATGATATGGTTAAAGATTTTTTTAAAGGAATAGTTAAGGAAGTATGTCTCCTGTTGCATAACAAATTTCTAATAAATAAATAAAGTAATCTCATTATTTTGAACTATTAATTTTGATATTTTCAGGTGAAACATAGTCATGTATTTGAATCATGCTATTAGGATGATATAGCTGTATTACCGATGCTCGGTAACCTTTGGTTCAACTTTCATTTGCTTTTAACAGAAATTTGACTTTCACTGTTTAGGAACATACATTTTGTTTGAAAAAGTTCTAAAGAAACAACAAAAAACAAACAAATTCCTTCATTGTTCTCCAGGATATGAAATTAGATTACCGTTATCGTCGTAAGTACCTAAAACTTTGGTAAACGCATCTTGTTTTTTTTTCTTAAGGCAACTAAACTAGTAGAACTATAGTGAAACGCCAATGTTGTTATTGTAAGAGTGACGATTTCAAACTCAGAGTATGCAATAAGACAATAAGCTTATTTCTAAATTACGGTGAATTAACTGGTGGCAAGCTGGTTTCTGACTTTAAACTTACAACATAACCGATGACGAGTTGTTGATTTTGAATCGTACATTTACAACATAATCTATAGCGAACATATAAAACTGTTAAACAAAAGGCGATGAGTTGATGGTTTTTGACCACAACTGTTGAAGAGTTGTTGGGTTTCAACCATAACCAGTGTGAGAGTTGTTGGCTTTTAACAGTAAAATATCGAGTAGATGATTATAAGTTGCAAGATTCTGACGGCAAAATTATGACATGTTATTGATGTGATCTCAGTCAAACGGAGAACAGTTAACATGTAATACAATCACATACTTAATTATATTAAATGTAAACTTATTGGAAAAGTATTAGCAAGTTGCCCTTGTCATAGAACGTTATCACATGTATTATTATTTGTTTACTGATGAGGCATTCTTTAGGTTAGTGTACCTACTGCCCAATAAACAAAACGTCCCTACGCCTTATTAAATACAATTATGAGAAACTTTAATCCATACCTTGTATATGTAACATTACTGGTTTAGCATAATAATGACATATAGGCAAACCCAGGCTCGAATCCTGGTTCTGACACTAGAAAAGTTCGATCGAAATGACAATATGGTATTTCGGGATTCGGAACATAGAACATAAAGAAATTTGATCACAGAAATAAAGAGGACTTTGAGGATTTGATTTCTGAAAGGAAACATGAATGAAAAGGATTACACAAAGTTACCCAAAACAACCATATTTTATTTTCACCACTACATAAAATGAAAATAAAATAAAAAGCTGGTCGCGAACAAAGAAGAAAAGATGAAGATGGAACACAGCAAAGATCAATCTTGACTTTTTCAGAGTAGGTACGATTCTCTCTGAAAGTGCAAAACTGATATAGTTCACACGTTCCTCAACTTACCATTCACAAATTGGGTTATAGAATTCTAAAGTATTCCTGCTCTAGGTAACAGTCATGAAGTAGCTTCACACTCAGAGTGATGTTGCTATCCTAAACACAGGTAACATCAATGACTGAGTCAGGTCTTCGAGAGTACCCCTAGAGCTAAATAAACACATGACATAGTCTGGACTTATCTATCAAGTTCAGGACCAGTTTTCTAGAAAAATGTATAGTGATATTTGAGTTCGACATACATAATTATTTGATTCTAAGTAAGAGGAAAGATTTGGAAGACTGTTATTTACTGTTTTGAATCTATCAATAAAACTGTGTTTTTAAAGAAAATAGTCTGATGAGGTAAGTTCAGTCAACTGTGAATTAAACGAAATGAAAACAGATGAATTAAAGATAAAATATAAATGTGAATTGACGATACTAGACCCAAGACTATTATAACTAGTGTTTAGTAACTTAAACTGTAGTAATTAAAACACATTAACAAGACATATTATTTAATTTCTTAAATGGTATTCGATTCATAGAGAAAAATTCATCAAAAGGCGTATAACTATATTGGTTAGTGATAGCGAATTACTACTCTATGATCTAATAAATATAACCCTTTATTCGATTGCTCAAAATGAGAAAATGCTAGATATAAGAAGCTTAAATAGTTATAAATAGAACTATAAAGCATACACAAAATTGGGAGCATCAGGAAGATATGTATGAGTTAATTAAATCGTCCAATATTGCGAATGCTCAACAAACATTGAGACAGAACTGCTGTTTCATAGATTTTATTCGTAAATAGCTTGAGCAATGAATGGTATAATCAACTGAAACTTATTTGTTCTTTGAGCGAGACTAATTTCTTTCTGATTTTTTTATTCTTTCAATTAACTCTCCTCTTCACGTAATAGACCGTGTAGAGGCGCTCGTGTATTTACGGTGCGTTGTTGCTATCTATCAATATCTCGCGACTTCATTCTATAGCCGAGAACTGAGTGAGATATAAGGACAGTCACAAGCACGAACTGTTACGGTCACTCTTCTAGGATTATAGCTTATTATTTACCAAATATCCTTAAGCTAATTACAGTAGGCTTATATCATGGGAGCATGGTCACAATATTCAGGTCTGTTTATGGCAAGACATTAATATAATGAACTAATAGATTTGTATCTTAAATAAATGAGCATTTTATAACTAACATAAAAATCTAAAATTTTGTTGGTTTAAATAGTTAGATATTGTTGTATCATTTAGACATAAACAATGGTCAGAGCTGAGTCAATTGTATGTAACACCACCGAACTAACTGAGTTTAATTTTTCCGAGTTCGAATTTCCTCAACCTCAACTCCTGACAAGGCACTTTTCATGGCAGGACTATATGAAAATAAGCTTTTATTTCCTGACTATTGTGGTGGCTCTTATTGGCAACGTTGGAGTCATTCTCACCGTAGCTTTCAACAGGGCTTCCCGGAGCACTATTAATTGTTACCTGGTAAATCTGTCCGTGGCAGACCTGCTCATCTGCAGCTTCTGTATGTGGGTTCATCTCGTGGATAACCTGTATAAGCCAACATATGTCCTGGGACCCTTTATGTGCAAGTTTAACAGTTTTGCTCAGAGTAAGTTTCAATAATAGTGTTTATTATCCCAAAAAATATAAAGTATACATAGAACTGAACGATATTTGTGTGATATGTTAGTAATAAGTTATGAAGTTAGTCCTTATGCACACATAAAAATAAATGTCAGATTAAAATACTAAAATTCTATGTCCAAGTCCTGCAGATATTATATTGTAAGGAGATGGAAAAATAAAAATAATTCATGTTGATAAATTTATTTAATTTTTATGTCAATATTACTTCACTAGTGGAAAAATAATTATGTACAGAGACTGTATTGAAAATTATAACAAATATAAAATATTAATGTTGTTTCTAAGAAAACATCATAAGTTACATAGTTGTGTACACAGAATGCAACTTTTTATCTCTAAAGAGCAGTAAATAGTGGAAAGTATCTGAGTTGCATTAAAAGTATTAGTGCATCTCCTAGCTTATGAAAACTGAAACTTATCAAGATGTTTCTAAAAAAAACTAGATAATGCGTTCTTAAATATCCCTTATCTTGATGTAAATACTTTTAAGTGGACCTGAATTGTGAAAATTTAAGGTATTATGTTGAGATTAGTGATGTCTTTCTAACTCCATCAAATTGCACAGGATATAGCACTTGTAAGTTATTTCTACGTTGGTTAAATGTGGATATAGTTAATAAAGCTTAAATATCCTGTTATGTCACTATTAGACGTTTGTAATTTTCATTTTTCTTTTAAAGGTTGTTAAATATATATATGACTGTTTCAATTTAAGTATACCGCGAGTGTTAAATTTACTTATTTTTAGAAGCGGTAGTTCATTGCAGGTATGGTTACGTAACTGTGCACGAATTATACGTTAGTAGTTCTATTGTTGTGAATTGGCGATTGTTGTATTATTGTGTCATGTTACTAGAACCTTCTAAGTTTCCTTGTTGTTTTGATTGAGTACTATTACATCATATTATCTCATAGTGTGTGGAACGTTTAGGCCTCTGTAAGGCTATAAATACGCGTATAAAATGTAGTTAAAGAAAGTTAGTTGGATAGATAGATATATCTAGAGTGTGTAATTGTGAGTTTAGCCATAAAGAGCATATAGCGGCGATTTTAAAGTGAAATTATCACCGATTGTATCGTAATAACAGAGCAGAGAAGAATAATTCGTCTTGTCAACTGTGTTCAAACGTAATTGAACAAGACTGTTTAGACTTTGATAAAAAATAGACGATTATTTAAAGCTCTGGATACAACTTTGGTAAATAACTGTGTAACGAACATTTGTATATACATTTGACTTGTATTAATATACTATTTTAAAACAAGTGGACTGTGTGCTGTTTGTTTATTGTTGAAATATATCACCAACAAGTCACAGGCACCCACTGTAAAGAATCCGTCCTACACTTACATAAAACCCTGACAAAGGTACTAAATGTCATATTAGAATTTTAGGTTAAAAATAAATATTCATTATCTTACGAAGTTGTATTAATTTCAATAATGTGGTCTAGAAAACAAAAGGTACAAAATGGAGGACTTGTAGATTACAACCAATTTTAAAATTGTTAATTTTCCAAAAGATTGTGGTGAAAATATTGTTTTTGCCATAGTTAGTGCAGAATAAATGACTAAAAAGATATTGTATTACCTTTTAGCCGAAAGAGGCTGCTAAGAAAAGTGTTGATTTTGAAAAATGTATTTAAAAATCAGCTAAACGAAACAGGTTTATTACGACGTTTCATGTTTTCGCTCTTCATCAGATACCCCCTGCTATACACTATACTGTTTCAGCAACCAGATGGTTCAAAAACGATAAGTAATAAAAGGACAAACATAAATATAAGAAAAACTGCTTTGAACAACATTTGGGCTGCGTTACTATAAACACGTCAACACTTAAAAGTAAATATTTCCATAGATTTTTCCTTTCATTCTGAGAATGCCTCCTAAGCGAATGCAAGTTTCTAATAATCAGCAAGTAAAACTGGCAAAGAAAACATTTTATTATGAGCTGAATTGTTGTCAAGCTAAAGAAGCTAGCTGGAGACGAATGGCATCAAGGTGGAAAATAAACAATTAAAAATATAGAAAAATGAAACAACAATGAAAGGATTATTTTTGTACAAATATTTACTTGCGTTAAGTCAGTAACACTTTTTGGAAACAATTATTAAGTTCGACTTACTAATACTAGCGACTTTAATTTACATGGCGATCATGCTTTGTCCGTTTCTTAACAATGGCCTTGCAGTTATGTTTCCATGAAATAAAACTTTTTCAGAGAAGAGCGTGATGTAATGATAAGCGTGCCGCACTGCATATTGACGGTCCATGGTTCGAGCAGCGATATGTTGCTGAATACGATCTGCACTTTCAGCTGTGGACGCGTTATAAATATGTCAGCAATCCCTCTTATCGGTTACTGATAATCGTACAAGGCGGCTGGTGTTACTGACTACTTGCCCTCCCTTTTTAAAAAAATATGCCCTAAACCTTGGGATCTATAGCTTGCCTTTTATCTTATATATCGTAAAGATGGAAAATCTTAAATACCAAATATCTTAGGAGAATAGCCAAGTCACTGCCCCCTCCACCCCTACACACACCACTCCGCTTGTACATTTTTCCACAAACGTAGGACTGCTACTTTCAAGAATACGCTAAAGTATTCCAAAAGAACAAAAGTCTTTTTGAGCTGTATCGAGAAGTTGACTGGTATATGTTCAAATAGAATGTGGTTCTGGTTTCTTTGGCCATTTTTTAAATAAAACATATCAGTTGATTTCAGTATG